ACTTTCCATATAATCAATCAAGGGGGGATCACAACAGCAAGGGGCCTGTCCAGCAGGATTTGTTTACAACTGTTATACGTTTCTATAGTTCTAAGCACAACATGACCCAGCACAGTGTGGCCCAGGTATGCACTCAAGGGAGAAACGGTGGGGCGGGGAGAAGCCAAGATGGAGTCAGTCAGGCTCACAGCTAAGATGGAGTCGGTCAGGCTAGCACAAGCTAGGTTGTCACATTTCCCACTTGTGTTTTCGGGGAGTTGAAGCATTGACTTTTTAGTCATAACAAGAGGGTTATATTGGGTTTTGAGATGCAAAAGCTTGACAGACGCTATGCGCTGTTGAATGAAATTTAGGAACTTATTAGGGAGCAGGTAAAGGAGATATGAACCAGCAGGATTCGGGCGTGCTTCCTGGACCAGTGGCTGGATGATGCCCTGAAGCTGTTGGAGAGACTGCAGGTACTGTAACAAGTTCGCTTGGGATATTTTTGCTAGGTGGGTATTTTTTAGTTTAGGCAATATAGGTGGAGGCCTTTTCTACATGATTTTAAAAGGAGAGAAACCTGCCTTTCAGGAGTGCATTCAACTTTAAGAAGGGCTAAAGGAAGGAGGTTTGTTTAACCCTTACCGGTTTGTAAGATTAATTTTGTGAGAGTGCTTTTTAAGGTTTGAATTATGCGTTTTACCCGTTTAGAGCTTTGAGGTTGATAGGCATAATGGAGTTTTTATCGAATGTTTAACGCCTTACTGACTGACTGAGCTATGGACGAGGTGAAGGCTGGCCCATTATTAGATTTTACAGCAAACAGCAGCCCATGTGAGGGATGATTTTATTGAATAAGAATTTAACTACGGTGGAGGCAGTTTTGTTTTTGGTGGCAAATGCCTTAGTTTATTTAGAAAAAGTGTTTACCATTACTAGGAGACACTTACATTCCGCCCAGTGTGGCTTTGTTTTCGTGAAGTTTCTTTTTTTTACCTATTTTTGGGCCACATTCCCGGAGGCGGTGGCCCAGCTCAGGCTTCGATTTTGGTTTGGCGTTTACCTGTGCACAGGCTGTGCGTTGGGAGGCTGCTTGGTTAAGTTTTGAAGGCGAGGGATTTAAAACAGTTTTTTAAAAGCTGGGCTCATTTCACTTTTTTAAGTGGGTGGAAGAATGGAGGCAACCAACCAAGGCTTTTTTCAGGGCACAGGGCAGGAAAATTTTGGAATTTGGGAGAATTTACCAACTACTTGTGTTTTTACTGGCCTGAATGTTCAATGCTGGTTTTTTTTTTTTTTTTGGAGAGTATGTTGGGTGGTTGGGTAGGTCAGGCTGCCGGAAGGACAGGGCAGGCAGTCGGGTTAAAGGTGTGACCGGGAGCTGGGCTGCCTCTTGGGCGACGGAGTTTGCCCTTTGATTTTTTTGGGTAATGACTGCACTTTGGTTTTTTTTGTTGTTGTTGCTGCTGTTTTGATGTTGTTGTTTCTTTTTTAATTTTTTTTTTCTCAGACGGGGTTTCACCATGTTGGTCAGGCTGGTCTTGAACTCCCGACCTCAGGTGATCCACCCGCCTTGGCCTCCAAAGTGCTTGGATTACAGGCGTGAGCCACCACGCCCGGACTGTTTTGATGTTTTTTGCAGTGGATTGCAGCCACCCCACTGCAGAGCTTGAGTGAGGGCAACCAGCTTAGTTTTTTGCGTTGAAGTTCTGGCTGGCAGGGCCTGGGCCCACAGAACGTTTGTTTTTGTGGTAACGGCCACACCGGCTTTTTGCACTTTTTTGCTTAAGGAAGCTGCTACTGTTAGTAAATACTGCTGCGGCATGTGCCTTTTTTAAAGGAACATCCTGGAGATGAGGTTGGCCAGTTTTTGTAGTTTTTAACAGCTTTTGGCAATTATGGACAGGTGCAGTTAGGTTTGGATTAGGAAGTAGGGTAGCTGGATTTGAACACCTTGTGGGGGAGAAAGTTAAACGAGGCTGATTTAACAGCAAACTTTGGTACGGTGATATGCAGGCGTTTGACATTTATTTACCGGAAGCGCTGCGCACCTACGTTTTAACAGCACGGCGAACAGTGAGGGTTAAATTCTGGCCCAGGGTTAATTTATTCGCTTTTTGGACCAGACTTGCTGATGCCGTTACGGCTTGTAGACAACGTGGAAGGCTTGTGTTTAACTTTTTGGAGTGCGGCCACTGAGATTTTTGCCTGCATTTTTGAGGTCTTTTTAGCTGCCAGAGCAGGCTATTTTTGTTTTTTAGGGTTTTGATTGTTACAAAACCTTTTGAGCTATTTTTAGGAGCTGGGAAATGTTTCTTTGAATGAATTTTTTAAGTTTTTGTAACCTTTTTTTTTTAATATTAGGAGTTGCCTGAGCCACAAACGCCAGATTAATAGCATGGCTATTTTGGGGAGCCGCTGGATTAGGGGTGTAAATTTGATAGGCCTTTTGGAGGCTTTTTAAAAATGCTTTAGGTGACTCATCAGACCCCTGGACAACTTTAGTTGTTTTAGACAGATTTATGGGTTTCTTTTTTAAATTGTACTTTAGGTTCTGGGGTACATGTGCAGATCATGTAGGATTGTTGCATAGGTACATACATGGCAAGGTGGTTTACTGCCTTCCTCCCCCCATCACCTATATCTGGTATTTCTCCCCAGATTATCCCTCCCCACCCTCCCCACCCCCTGCTCTCCTTCCCTTAGTCCCCCCAACTGACCGCATTGTGTGATGCTCCCCTCCCTGTGTCTGCGTGCTCTCACTGTTCAACACCCACCTATGAGTGATACCATACAGTGTTTGATTTTCTGTTCTTGTGTCAGTTTGCTGAGAATGATGATTTCCAGATTCATCCATGTCCCTATGAAGGACACAAACTCGTCGTTTTTTATGGCTGTGTGGTATTCCATGGTGTATATGTGCCACATTTTCTTTATCCAGTCTATTGTTGATGGACATTTGGGTTGGCTCCAGGCCTTTGCTATTGTAAACAGTGCTGCAATGGATTTATGGGTTTTTGAGCGGCGTTTCTAATGCCCACAAGGAGATACTGGTGGAAATTGTTTAAAGCTTTACTTCCCCCTGAGGTATTTGGGTTCCAGTTAGGCTGAGTAGAAGGAAAAACTTTTTTTAGGAGGTTTTTGGGGTGTTTTTTTTTTTTGCATACTGGCTGAACTAAGGAAAAACTGGGGCAGAATTGGGGGAGTAGAGGGGACCAGTAGTTCATAGGAAGGTGGGGTCTGGCTCAGAAGGACCTTGGAGCACGGACTGTGAACGACACAAGAGTGGCGCCACGGAGGCGGATTTTGGACTAAAGCCGCTGAGTAAGGAAACTGGTTTGGGTGTCCTGCCCTTTTAGTAACTACTCGCCAGAGTGTCCGGACCGTTGGAGCATTTAAAGACCGCTGCGTGTGGCTGTTTTGTTTTTTGTTTTTTTGTTTTGAGACGGAGTTTCGCTCTTGTTACCCAGGCTGGAGTGCAATGGCGCAATCTCGGCTCACCGCAACCTCCGCCTCCTGGGTTCAGGCAATTCTCCTGCCTCAGCCTCCTGAGTAGTTGGGATTACAGGCACACGCCACCATGCCCAGCTAATTTTTTGTAGTTTTAGTAGAGACGGGGTTTCACCGTGTTGACCAGGATGGTCTTGATCTCTTAACCTCATGATCCACCCGCCTCGGCCTCCCAAAGTGCTGGGATTACAGGCTTGAGCCACCGCGCCCGGCCAGGCTATTTTGTTTTAAAGCTTGGCTATTTTACTTTACAGAGAGTTAGGAGTTTATCTGCAGTGAGGCAGACTTTGTAGTTATTTGAAAAACCCAAGGAGAAAAAAAAATTTTTAACATGCACTGTAGGGGAGTGGACGGTTGAGATGAGGCAACACCCTTTTTGGAAGGTATTTGGGGGAACTAGGTGGTTGGGGAATTTTTTTTGGCTTTATATCCAAGATACCTTTGATGTTTTTATGACTTAAAGGCAGAGGACTTGAACTGTGTTTTGTTTGCTGGGGTTTTAGGAGACAAGAGAGCCAACTTTTGGAGACACTGGACTTGATGTGATAAGGGAACAAGGCGATGCAGTTCACGTCCATGGGAAGTGGGGGGAGAAACTGAGTGTGAATAGGGGAAGTGGTCAAGTCAGGAGAGGGAGGGCCCGGGCAACGGTTAGCGTTCTACGTGGGTATGAGGTCCCTGCACAGAATTTGTTAAACAGAAAGATGCAGAGATAGACACAAAAGATGATGCCCCTGCACTCCAGCCTGGGCGACAAAGACTCCATCTCAAAAGAGAAAACAAACTTTGTCATATAACCTTTCAACCTAAAGCCTGAGCCATAGGCCCTTGATTCTGTGCCTGGGACCGTGACAACCTCCCCATATCAATGTTCTTATTCTTAAAATAGTTTCACGCCTACCAAAAGTCTGCTGGAGAGTCAAGTGAGGAGAGGGGTCCATCACTTTGGTCAGCACCTGGAAGCCAGTGCTAACGCAAAGTGATACCTTTTCAATCTTAAGGAAAATCGCAGAGTGGCTTTTTGTTCCCTGACCGGGAATTGAACCTGGGCCACAGCAATGAGAGCACCGAATCGTAACCATTAGACCACCAGGGAGCAGAGTGGCTTCTATGCATTTTCTATGAATGACCAAATACAGGTATAAAAGCTGTGTGTTTCCCAGGGCAATGGGAAGTAAAGAGAAGGTGGGAGGTGAGAGACAGACATACACAGAGACTCCCAGAGACGTCACACATACAGACTCAGACACACAGAGATAGAGACAGACAGCCAGGTGCAGTGGCTCGCACCTGTAATCGCAGCACTTTGAGAGGCCAAGGCAGGTGGATCACAAGGTCAGGATATCAAGACCATCCTGGCCAACATGGTGAAACCCTGTGTCTACTAAAAATACAAAAATTAGCTGGGTATGGTAGTGCATGCCCGTAATCCCAGCTACGCGGGAGGCTGAGGCAGGACAATGACTTGAACCAGAAAGGCAGAGGTTGCGGTGAACACTCCCACGCCACTGCACTCCCAACTGGTGACAGAGCGAGACTCCATTTCAAGAAAGAAAAACAAAAGCAATCATCCCTGAACTTCTTAGTAGTACTTCCTAGACTAAGCACAAAGCACCGTATGTATTGCAGGTTTGCTCTTGGGCATGTCAATAAACACAGCTCCAACGAGAATGCTCCAACTTTTTATTATCCCGGTGAGAAAGTGCACAGCATGACGTGCAGGGCGTGCGTGGCTTTTGCAGAATCTCCCAGAAACAGTGAGAAAAGGAGTGTCAAGTCCCACAGAGTTAACATGTGACCCTCTGACCCACATTCATAAGACATCTTAGAGACCAGATTCCCACTTCTCGTGTAATTCGTATGGCAATCCCTGTCTGCTCAGCAAAAAGAGTCACAGCACGGAGGTGCTGCCTCCCCGGAAGCATTGCAATCAATCGTCAGCTTGGGATTCTTTTCTTTCACTTCCTCTAACAGCTTCTCAACTTCCAAACTAGTGTCATAGGTCTTCAACCTGGAGGACCAGAGAACACAAATGTTTGCAGAGTGTCTGTAGCTTCACTGTCCCAAGAAATTCATTCTCAATTACCCAGGATGCCTGAATATGTTTTCTTTTTTTGTTTTGCTTTGTTTTTTTAGAGACAGGGTTTCACCATGTTAGCCAGATGGTCCGGATCTCCTGACCTCGTGATCCACCTGCCTCATCCTCCCAAAGTGCTGGGATTACAGGCGTGAGCCACTGCGCCCAGCCGGAACATCTGTTTTGAAACACTCAAAGCAGGAAATGTTTTTGGGGTGTTGTTTTTTTTTTTTTTGGAGACAGGGTCTTGTTCTGTTGCCCAGGCTGGGCAATGGTGCCATCTTGGCTCACTGCAACCTCCAGCTCCTGGGTTCAAGTGATTCTCATGCCTCAGCCTCCTGAGTATCTGTGATTACAGGTGTGCACCACCATGCTCAGCTAAGTTTTGTATTTTCAATAGAGATGGGCTTTCTTTTTTTTTTTTTTTTAATTTTAAGATGGGGTTTCACCATGATGGCCAGGCTGGTCTTGAACTCCTGACCTTAGGTGATCCACCCACCTTGGCCTCCCAAAGTCATGGGATTATAAACATGAGCCACCACACCCGGCCGGAAACATTTTCTAAAAAAGAATTTAGACCCATACAATGGAAATCCTTATAAGTCTCAGAAAAAACAGATTATGGCTAGGCACAGTGTGATTCCAGCTCTTTGGGAGGCCGCAGGAGGCAGATCACTTGAGCTCAGGAGTTCAAGACCTGCCTCGACAACACAGTGAAATCCTGTCTCTACCAAAACTACAAAAAGTTAGCCAGGTATGGTAGTACACACCTACAGTCCCAGCTATGCAGGAGGCTGAGACAGGAGGATCACTTAAGCCCAGGAGGCAGAGGTTGCAATGAGCTAGAGATTGCCCTACTGCACTCAGCCTGGGTAGCAAAGTATGTCTTTAAAAAAATAAATTTAAGAATTAGATAATCAGACTAAAGCCCATTGTAATAGGCTCACCATAGCTTCAGTTTGTCTATAGTTTTTGTGTGGTGTCTAAGGTGAGCTCTAATCCTGCTGTCTCTATCCACAGTGTAACTCTTCACATGTTGACAACTTCTGTGCACCCTGACTTCAGGAGCCCAGAGATAAAGGGAGTATGTGTAAGTACTCAGCTCATCCAATTACCCTCAGCTAATCTGATTACCCTTCAGGAACTTTGGTTAAAAACAAAGTGGCGGCCGGGCGCGGTGGCTCACGCCTGTAATCCCAGCACTTTGGGAGGCCGAGGCGGGTGGATCACGAGGTCAAGAGATCGAGACCATTCTGGTCAACACGGTGAAACCCCATCTCTACTAAAACTACAAAAAATCAGCTGGGCATGGTGGCGCGTGCCTGTAATCCCAGCTACTCAGGAGGCTGAGGCAGGAGAATTGCCTGAACCCAGGAGGCGGAGGTTGCGGTGAGCCGAGATCGCGCCATTGCACTCCAGCCTGGGTAACAAGAGCGAAACTCTGTCCCAATAAAAAAAAAAAAAAAAAAAAAAAAAAAAAACAAAGTGGCAAATCATGGCCATTTGTGGTGGTTGACGCCTGTAATCCCAGCACTTTGGGAGGCAGGAGGATCTCCTGAGGTCCTGAGTTCAAGACCAGCCTGACCAACATGGTGAATCCCCGTCTGTACTAAAAATACAAACATTAGCTGGGCGTGGTAGCAAGGGGACTGTCATCCCAGCTACTCAGGAGGCTGAGGCAGGAGAATTGCTTAAACCCAGGAGGTTACAGTGAGCTGAGATAGGGCCACTGCATTCCAGGCTGGGCAACAGAGTGAGATTCTATCTCAGAATACATATATATACACATAAAAATTAGCCAGGCATGGTGGTGCCTACCTGTAATCCCAGCTACTCAGGAGGCTGAGCAGGAGAATCACTTGAACTTGTGAAGCAGGGGCTGCAGTGAGTCAAGACTGCACCACTGCACTCCAGCCTGGGCAACAGAGCGAGACTCCATCCCAAAAAAGAAAAAAAAAACCAGAAAGGCCAGGTGCAATGGCTCATGTCTGTAATCCCACACTTTGGAAGGCCAAAACAGGCGGCTCACCCGAGATCAGGAGTTCAGACCAGCCTGGCCAAGACGGTGAAAACCCCCTTTCTACTAAAAATACAAAAATTAGCTGGGTGTGGTAGTAGGCGTCTGTCATCCCAGCTACTTCGGAGGCCAAGGTGGGAGAATCGCTTGAACCCAGGAGGCAGAGGTTGCAGTGAGCTGAGCTGAGATCATATCACTGCACTCCAGCCTGGGCTACAAGACAGAAACCCCATCAAAAAAAAAAAAAAAAAAAAAAAAAAAAAAAGGTATACCCAGCTACTCAGGAGGCTGAGGCAGGAGAATTGCCTGAACCTGGGAGGCAGAGGTTGCGGTGAGCCAAGATCACACAACTGCACTCCAGCTTACATGACAGAGCAAGACCCCATCTCAAAAAAAAAAAAAAAAAAAGAAAAAGAAAAAGAAAAAAGCTATACCTGAGTGTCTTCAAGGATCCAGTTCCTTGTTTTAGAAACCCAAAGAGCTTAATTATGCCACTTTTCCACAAATGATTCTGGCCCAGGTCCAGAGTTTCCAGCTTCTGATTGCTGATGAGAGCAGATCCAAGATGTTGACAATAGAAAGGCAGAAGGGAGCAGCTCCAGAGGCTGTTGAGGAAGAATATGGAAACCCACGCATTCACTAAGCAGGTAGTGGCCGGATGCAGTGGCTCACGTCTGTAATCCCAGCACTCTGGGAGGTGGGTGGATCACTTGAGGCCTGGAGTTCGAGGCCAGCCTGGCCAACATGCTGAAAACCCGTCTCTACTAGAAATACAAAAATTAGGCCGGGCATGGTGGCAGGCACCTGTAATCCTAGCACTTTGAGAAGCCAAGGAGGGCAGACCACCTGCGTTCAGGAGTTTGAGACCAGCCTGACCAACATGGTGAAACCCCATCTCTAAAAAAAAATAATAATAATAAAAATAAAATAAGCTGGGCATGGTGGCACATGTCTTTAATCCCAGCTACTCGAGAGGCTGAGGCACAAGAATTGCTTGAGCCTGGGAGGCAGAGGTTGCAGTAAGCTGAGATCACGCCACTGCACTCCAGCCTGGGCAACAGAGTGAGACTCCATCTCAAAAAAATTAAAAAAAAAAAAAACTCTAACTGAACAGAAAGTGGTGGTACCAATTATCTGGCTGGGCATGGTGACTCATGCCTGTAATCCCAGCATTTAGGGGCAGGCAGATCACCTGAGGTCAGGAGTTCAAGACCAGCCTGGCCAACATGGTGAAACCTCATCTCTACAAAAATACAAAAATTAGCCAGCAAGATGTAATCCAAGCTACTTGAGAGGCTGAGGCAGGAGAATCACTTGAATCTGAGAGACAGAGGTTGCAGTGAGCTGAGATCATGCCATTGCACTCCAGCCTGGGCAACAGAGACTCCATCTCATAAATAAATACATAAAATACAATTAAAGTAAAGTAAGTTAGCCAGGTGGTGGTACCACCTACAATTCCAACTACGCAAGAGGCTGAGGCAGGAGGATAGCTTGAATGCTGGAGGCAGAGGTTGTAGTGAGCCAAGATATCACCACTGCTTGTATGAAAGAGACTCTTTCATTCAAAAAAAAAGAACAAGTACCATATTTCTAGGCACACTCTTATTTGCTGGAATCCAGTAGTGAGGAAATGCCAAGGAGAGTGAAGGAAAGAAATCCCTGTCCTCAGAGTTTATTTTAGGGACAGCAGACATCTGGACATGTTCTACTGAAGACAATGAATGATGGTATTAAAATAATCAGCCAGGTGTGGTGTCTCACGCCTGTAATCCCAGCATTTTGGGAGGCGGAGGCAGGTGGATCACCTGAGGTCAGGAGTTCGAGACCAGCCTGACCAACATGGTGAAAACTCATCTCTTAAAAAAATTAATTAATCAGGGTAGAGGTAAGTCAACCAGGGCAGGATTGGCTAGATTTATGCTGCTCATTTAAGTCCTCTTTGGGAAAGTGATATGAGGAAAAAAACTGAATAATGGTAGATCATGAACCAGCGTGCTAATTTGGGGAAGGAATTTTGCAAATGAAATACTGAGCTAGTGAGAACGTAGAAAAGTTTGGCTCGGCCGGGCGCGGTGGCTCAAGCCTGTAATCCCAGCACTTTGGGAGGCCGAGGCGGGTGGATCACGAGGTCAAGAGATCGAGACCATCCTGGTCAATATGGTGAAACCCCGTCTCTACTAAAAATACAAAAAAAAATTGGCTGGGCATGGTGGCGCGTGCCTGTAATCCCAGCTACCCAGGAGGCTGAGGCAGGAGAATTGCCTGAACCCAGGAGACGGAGGTTGCGGTGAGCCGAGATCGCGCCATTGCACTCCAGCCTGGGTAACATGAGTGAAACTCCGTCTCAAAAAAAAAAAAAAAAAAAGAAAAGTTTGGCTCACAAGTTACAAGAAGATCTCATAACATAAGGCCCCATAGGCCACTGTAAAAGCCTTTAATTTTTTTTTTCCCTCTCCTGGTTCAAGCAATTCTCCTGCCCCAGCCTCCTGAGTAGCTGAGATTACAGACGCGAACTACCACACACAGCTAATTTTTGTGTTTTTAGTAGAGATGGGGTTTCACCATGTTGGTCTGGAACCCCTGACCCTTAGGTAATCCACCCCTTTATTTGCACTAAGCTTTTGAGCCTTTGGAAATAAAGGTGTCATGGTCTGACTTGCCGTTTAGAATGCTCTCAGGGTGATGGGTTAAGAAACTTCAGGAGGCCAGGAATAGTGGCTTTTGCCTGCAATGCCAGCACTTTGGGAAGCCGAGGCTTGTGGATCACTTGAGGTCAGGAATTTGAGACCAGCCTGGCCGACATGGTGAAACCAGGTCTGTATTAAAGATCTAATTAGCTGGGCATGGTGTTATGTGCCTGTAGTCCCAGCTACGCGGCTGAGGCAGGACAGCTGCTTGACCCTTGGAGGCGGAAGTTCCAGTGAGCCAAGATCACACCCCCACACTCCAGCCTGGGCGACAGAGTGAGACTCCATCTCAAATAAGGAAAAAAAAGTACCCTGTGTTCTGGCTTTTTTATCTTGTCTCCACAGCAAAGCTAGATAGTAATGACATGATAAAGATTCTCTTTGCATTAGGATTACAGTTTCTAGTTGGAAGATAGGCTGCAACCAGGACATGCAATTGACAGACTTGGAAGAGAGAATATAAAGGGCTCGCCATTCCATTTGTGAGCCTTTGCATTTCCTGGGGGTGATAGCCCATCTGTAGTTCCCTGGGTTTATGAGAAGGGGCAGGATCACTGCTTCCCGATTACTGGATCCCAGCAGAAGTGGCTTATTTCTGAAGTCCACATCACTGGGGGCCATTCTCATCTATATTTCACTTCTCCAGTCCCTCTATATGACTTTGGAAGCACCCAGCCACCTATATTTACTGTCTGGAAGGGTTTGCTCTTAAAATTCAATCCGGAGTGACACAGTCGGAGACATTGAGAACAAAGAAATTAAAGATTTCCAAACACTTTGAAAATGAAGCCGGGTGTGATGGCTCATGCCTGTAATCCCAGAACTTTGGGAGGACAAGGCAGGCAGATCACCTAAGGTAAGGAGTTGGAGACCAGCCTGGCCAATATGGTGAAACGCCACCTCTACTAAAAAATATAAAAACTAGCCAAGCGTGGTGCCTCACGCCTTAATCCTAGACTGTGGAGAAACCCTGTCTCTACTGAAAATACAAAATTAGCTGGGTGTGGTGGCACATGCCTGTAATCCCAGCTACTCAGGATGCTGAGGCAGGAGAATCCCCTGAACCAGGGAGGTGGAGGTCACAGTGAGCTGAGATCATGCCATTGCACTCTAGCCAGGGCAACAAAAGTGAAACTCCATCTCAAAAAAAAAGAAAAAACAAAATTAAAGATTTCCAAACACTTTAAAAATGAGGCCAGGCGTGATGGCTCATGCCTGTAATCCTAACACGTGGGGAGGCTGAGGCGGGAGGATTCCTTGAGCCCAGGAGTTCAAAACCAACCTGGGAAAGATGATGAGACCTCATCTGTACACAAAAATGTTAGCTGGCCATGGTAATCCATGCCTGTAGTCCCAGCTACTCAGGAGGCTGAGGTGGGAAGACCCAGTAAGCCTGGAAGATTGAAGCTGCAGTGAGTTGTGATCACACCACTGTGCCCCAGAGCCTGGGGAACAGAGCAAGACCCTATCTCAAAAAAAAAAAAAGGAAAGAAAAAGAAGAAGAAAAAAAGTCACCTACCGTAAGTGTTTTAGGTTGCAGTCTGGATTCTCTAACGCCCGACAGAGAATCCACAATCCACAGCCTATGTGGTTGAAGCTCAGGTCCAAGTCTGTGAGGTTGCAGACTCCTTGGAGAACGTCCGAGAGCGCTCTGCAGCCATGCTTGGTTATGTTGCATTGCTGTAACCTGCAGGATAATCAAATGAAGAGGAGCCTGTTATCCCTCTGGCTTATGTCCCGTGAAGTAGTTGTTACTCCCAACACCACATCTTCTGCCTTGAGCTACATACTTCCAGGCGGGCGTGTACAAAAACCATGTGAATGGGCCAGGCGCGGTGGCTCATGCCTGTAATCCCAGCACTGTGGGAGGCAGAGAGGGGCAGAGATCACTTGAGGTCAGTAGTTCAAGACCAGCCTGGACAACATGGTGAAACCTCATCTCTACCAAAAATACAAAAATGAGCTGGGCATGGCGACGAGCACCTGTAATCACAGCTACTCAGGAGGCGGAGGCAGGAGAATTGCCTGAACCCAGGAGGGGGGAGGTTGCAGTGAGTGGAGATCGCGCCATTGCACTCCATCCTGGTGACAGAGGGAGACTCCATCTCACAAAGAAAGCATGCAAATGGCCTTCTGATTACATCATTTCCAACTCTGCCTAGGACAGCAGCTTAGGCTCTGGGTTCCGAGGAACCCAGGACTGGATCTGAGGCCTGGAAATTTCACTTCACTGTCATTTTATTTCATGTTTAGGTTTTGTCTTTAAATGACACATTCTATATATTTCGGGGCACAGTGTGACGTTTCGGTGCATGTATCATGTATTACCTGATAATTATATAATTATCAGGTAAGCGACTTTTTCTTTTTGCTGTTTAACAACACTCTAAGCAGGGCATGGTGGCTCATGCCTGTAATCTCAGCACTTTGGGTGGCTGAGGCAGGCAGATCACATAAGGTCAGGAGTTTGAGACCAGCCTGGTCATTATGGTCAAATTCCATCTCTACTAAAGTACAAAAATTAGCTGGGTGTGGCGGCAGGCACCTAGAATCCCAGCTACTTGGGAGGCTGAGGCAGGAGAATCGCTTGAACCCAGGTGGTGGAGGTTGCAATGGGCCAAGATAGCACTACTGCATTCCAGCCTGGCAACAGAGTGAGACTGTCTTAAAAAAAGAATCTCAGAAATGAATACCAGCTAGAATTTCTGAACAGAAATAGGTCTTCAACACCATGCAATCTCTTGAATGTTGTTCTAACCATGATTTTAACGTGAACAGGTAATGCACACTGAGCTGCTTCCCACATTACAAGATTCAGCCAGCAACAACTGATGAGCCAATTCCAGCCTGACACCTGTGTTTTTTTTCTTCAGGTGGAACCTCACTGAATCGCCAGGCTGGAGTGCAGTGGTGCGATCTCAGCTCCCTGCAACCTCTGCCTCCCAGATTAAGTGATTCTCCTGCCTCAGCCTCCCGAGTAGCTGGGACTACAGGCTTGCCCCACCACGCCAGGCTAATTTTTATATTTTTAGTAGAGACGGAGTTTCACCACGTCGGCCAGGCTGGTCTCGAATTCCTTGACCTTAGGTGATCTGCCCACGGTTCGCCACCTGTTCTCCAATAACAGATGCAAATAAAAATGTTTTAAAAAGATGTCACTGGCCCTATCACATAACTCAGTCTACCTCTGATAGCAGGCAGTACTGTCATGTGAAGTTGAAAGAACATACACAAAGCATCAGATCCAAGAACCAATTGCCCATCTCAAATCTTCCTTCGCAGCAGCAAGAGGTATGCAAATATTAACTTATTTTTACCTGTCTCTACCCATTTCTTTTTTTTTTGAGATGGAGTCTCACTCTGTGGCCCAGGCTGGGGTGCAATGGCATGATGTCGGCTTACCACAACCTCTGCCTCTGATTACAGGCACATGCCACCACACCTGGCTAATTTTTTGTATTTTTAGTAGAGACAAGGTTTCACCGTGTTAGTCAGGATGGTCTTGATCTCCTGACCTCGTGATCTGCCTACCTTGGCCTCCCAAAGTGCTGGGATTACAGGCCTTAGCCACTGCACCCAGCCTTCTTTAATTCTTACCATGTTCTTACCAGTTACATTTTTAATGAATTAACAAGGACTTCCATTTCCATATCTCTCCTGCTTGAATTCACGTACACACACACGCGCGCACGCATGCGCGCGCACGCATGCGCGCGCACACACATGTAACCAGCAGGGACTTACACCAGGGTCTGCAGTTTACAGTCGGGGTAACTCAAGCCCTCACACAGCAATCGCACCCCTTTATCCCCAATGGGGTTCTTGGCCAAGCATAGGTGTGTCAGATGCTGGCTGACAATCAAGACATCAGCAAGCTCCTTGCAACTGGCTTCTGTAAGACGACAGTTTTCCAACCTGCAAAAATATGAAACAAACGGTAACATGACGAGAACGCTTCCAAAACTCCAACCTGCTCGCCATGTCCACATGCTAGGGTCCTCAGCGTCAGCCCTTCCCGTTAATCCCCTGCCCTCTGTCCTGTGCTGGTCATCACAGCCACAAAAGACCAGGAATGCGAGAAGGCCAGGACGCAGTGGTCCACCTGGAACCGTCTCAGGAAGCAGGTGTTTTTGAGATGGAGCCTTCCTCTGTTGCCCAAGTTGGAGTGCAATGGTGCCATCTCAGCTCACAGCAACCTCCACCTCCCGGGCTCAAGCAATTCTCCTGCCTCAGCCTCCTGAGTAGCTGGGATGCACCAGACATGCGCAGCCACACCTGTCAATTTTTTTTATTTATTTATTTTATTTTTGAGACCGAGTTTCGCTCTTGTTACCCAGGCTGGAGTGCAATGGCGCTATCTCGGCTCACCGCAACCTCCGCCTCCTGGGTTCAGGCAATTCTCCTGCCTCAGCCTCCTGAGTAGCTGGGATTACAGGCACGCACCACCATGCCCAGCTAATTTTTTTTATTTTTAGTAGAGACGGGGTTTCACCATGTTGACCAGGATGGTCTCGATCTCTTGACCTCGTGATCCACCCACCTCGGCCTCCCAAAGTGCTGGGATTACAGGCTTGAGCCACCGCGCCCGGCCAATTTTTTTTTTTTATTTTTAGAAGAGATAGGATTTTGCCATGTTGGCCAGGCAGGTCTTGAACTCCTGACCTCAGATGATCTACCTCTCCGGCCTCCCAAAGTGCTGAGATTACAGGCATGAGTCACCACGCCCAGCATGAAGCAGGTGTTTATATCAGTGAGAGGTACCGTACGGGCGGCCCAGCAAGTCAGGTGTCACAGTTTCTCTTCTCTTTTACCGGACCTAAACCAGAGCTCCCCATGGGAAGGGACTCACGACAGCTTCTGCAGCAAGCATGCTGGGTGTCCCACGGTCTCATACAGCAACTTGGCACCCTCGTCCAGGAGCAGACTGGCTGAGAGGTGTAGGTGCCTCAGGGACTGGTTGGCTTTGAGAATAAAGGAGAAATCGTCCCACTGCTCTGGGGTGGCCGAGTGACCTCCAAACCTGTGGGAAGAGTGGGAGTAAGTCATTCGTTTGTGAGGACAGAGGGTACCAGATCAGCTTTTTTTTTTTTCTTCTCAAAAGGAGACAGTTTCACCCTGTTGCCCAGGCTGGAGCCCAATGGCACGATCTCAGCTCACTGCCGCCTCCGCCTCCCAGGTTCAAGCGATTCTCCTGCCTCAACCTCCCAAGTAGCTAGGATTACAGGCCATGGCACCATGCCCGGCTAATTTTTGTATTTTATTAGAGAGGGGTTTGCCATGCTGGTCTCAAACTCCTGACCTCAGGTGATCCTCCCACCTCGGCCTCCCAAATGATGGGATTACAGGCGTGAGCCACTGCACCCGGCCCTTATCAGCTTCTTATGCTTCACTTCCCAAAACATTGTCTTTGGTTTATCTCATTCTACTCTCCTTTCTCCAACCCTGGCCTGGATTATTGGAGAGATCTCATCTTTCCTCTGCTTCTTCAAGTTTCCTCATAGCCACTGGAGCTACATCCAGCCTCATCTCCAAGAGACTGTAATACAATTCTATGTAACGTTTCACCAACACGGCCTGTGGGGATGATTTTGTAGGGGGAAAAAATTGTTTTTGAGACAGGAACTTGCTCTGTTGCCCCGGCTGAAGTGCAGTGGTGGGGAGCCATGATCCCCTCTGTCTCCCGGGCTCAAGTGATCCTCCCACCTGAGCCTCCAGCATAGCTGGGACTAGAAGGGAGAAACTGGTGCTTAATACTCAAAAAGTTTATCCTGGCCAGGCAGGATGGCTCACGCTCATAATCCTAGCACTTTGGGAGGCAGAGGCAAGTCGATCACTTGAGGCCAGGAGTTCAAGACCAGCCTGGCCAACATGGTAAAACCCTGACTCTACTAAAAATACAAAAACTAGCCGGGCGGGGTGGCGTGTACGTGTAATCCCAGCTACTTGGGAGGCTGAGACAGGAGAATCACTTGAACCCGGACGGCAGAGGTTGCAGTGAGCCGAGATCATGCCACTGCACTCCAGCCTGGGTGACAAGAATAAAACTGTCTCAAAAAAAAAAAAAAAATCTCATAGAAGTATGGAGAAGGTTGCATGCCCCCTATGAGTCCCTAGCTCCTGATGATCCGGATTGATGATCCATCCACCTCAGGCTCCCAAAGTGCTGGGATCACAGCACTGCACGGGGATCAGGCCCCAGAGCCTGGTGATCTGAGACTGAACAGTTTCATCCCAAAACTACGCCCCCAAACCCCTGGCTGTGGAAAACCTGTCTTGCACAAAACGGGTCCCCAGTGCAGAAAAAGCTGGGGGCTGCTGCTCTCAATCCCAACAGGCAGGCGAGAGGCAGTCAGGAGTAGCACGTCCCTAAAGCTGGAACACAGCACAGAATTCTGGATGTTTCTTTGCATTGAGAGCTGGTTAGTTAAGTCAAGCTGGTGGGGGAAAGACAGGCTGACACCCCACACAGGCCTGTTTGAGGGATACGTTCCCTGCCTGGCACGGCATCCGCAGCAGTTACCCTTTTTCCTGAATCCTCCAGCAACACGGTGTAGAGGACTCGGGGTCCTCCGGAGAGCCATGACCGTGAGACCCACCTCAGGTACTGGAGGTTGCCTTTGGGAGATCTGAACAGATCACACATCAGCAGCAGCATCGTGCGTTCCCACTCGATGTGCCCTTCCATGGTCAGGTGAGTGAGGGTCGTCTTCCCAATGAGAGCAAGACAGAAGTCCCGGTAAGCAGTGTCAGGGGTGACGTTTTTAATCCTAGAAAAAAGCAAGAGAGATTCCATTTTGAGTGTTCAATCCTCGCATTGTGTAGAGGCATGTATAGACAAAAAGCTGTTCCAGATTTAGAAACTATTAGAAGTTCTTGGCCAGGCGCGGTGGCTCGCATCTGTAATAGCAGCACTTTGGGAGGCCAAGGCAGGAGGATAACCTGAGGTCAAGAGTTCGAGACCAGCCCAGGCAACATGGTGAAACCCCATCTCTACAAAAAATACAAAAATTAGCTGGGGCCGAGGTGGGCGGATCACCTGAGTTCAGGAGTTCAAGACCAGCCTGGCCAACATGGTGAAACCCTGTCTCTATTAAAAATACAAAAATTAGGCCAGGCGCGGTGGCTCAAGCCTGTAATCCCAGCACTTTGGGAGGCCGAGGCGGGTGGATCACGAGGTCAAGAGATCGAGACCATCCTGGTCAA